AGATAAAAAAGTTGAAATCTTTTATATAACCATTATGAAAGATGTTGAAGAAACTTCTACAAATATACAAAATACAATAAACTTATTTAATTATCAAAACATAGTAGAAACCTTTGCATCAACTCTATCTGAACATTATACTACCTTCTTACAACTTTATTCAAATGTTGAATTCAGTCAAGAAGGAATCCAATATGGTAGAATACATTGTACTTAGTTTTATATTGAACATATCAGTACTTAACTATTTTAAAAATCTAATAAAAAAGACTGGCCTAAAGATTAGAAAGGATCAGCAGCTCAATGTTGATACAGAGATAAACTTTACTCACTATTCAATGAATGCTTCAAAAGTTATATTGACCTTTAGTTTTGGCAATCATTAAACAATCTTCTTTAGAAGAAATTGCTAAATGTTAGTAGTCTACACCTAATGATGAAAACCATGATACCTAGTATAACTTTATTAAAAAAGCTAACCAAACCCAACCTAAAATAAACTTCATTGATGATATTCCAATTAAAAATCCTTTCAGAATACTAGAAAGTGATAGCCAGTATTTGCTAAGTGATTATAATTTTAATAAAGAAATAGATACTTTTAGCAATATAAAATTTGATGATACTAATAAGTTTAATATAGAATAATATTAGTTAATAAACCTTGATAGTTCTCTCTTTTACAAACTCTTTTCTTATTATATTATTTAGATTTTAATAACTATTCAGAACACTATCTATATAATGTAGTTTAGTAGTAAGTAGTTAATCTAATTTATTATTATTACTAGTTATTTATTTATATATTATATTTATATTTTATTATAAAAAAGAAAAAAAATAGACAAAAACAAAAAAAAAACAAATAAAAACAAATAATAACAAAAAAATATATACAAAAAAAAATATATATATATAGTAAAATTAAAAACTAACATTTAACATTTTATTTTTATTATTATTTTTCTCTCTTCTTCTTTCTTTTGTTCTTAATCTTTTCAACTTCTTCTCATTATTTGCCAACCTTGTCCTCAATCTGTTTTTTTTCTTTAACAACTGAGTATACTACTGTTTCAACATCTAACCATCTTGCACTTTTGCAATTGCATTTGCTTTTAACTCTTAAACTTTATATCCAAAGTTTGTATTCTTTTTCTTTGCGAGGCCACTAACTGAAATAAACTATAAACAAGTTTTGTTAAATGATAAAAAGAAAAAGAGAAAAAGAGAAAATAAAAAAAATTTTAAAGATAATATTTACTACCTGTTCTTAACTTGAACCACTTTCAAGGCCTTATACAAGACATTATTGCTATTTTGGCAAATATGACAAACATTTCTAGAAAGACTGTAATGAGACATTGTTATTATTATTATTATTGTTGGAGTTGTTATTGTTGTTGTTGATGTTGTTGGAGTTTATAAAAAAAAAAAAAGAAGAGAGAAGTAACAAAAGAACTATAATTTTTAATAGACAATAATAAAACAAAATTAGACATCAATTAGAAGTTGATTTACCAAATTTAGAAATTAATTAAAAATTGATTTAACAAATTTAGAATAGTAAAAATTTGTAAATTACATGATTGCAAATCACATAAAATTCTAGCATCTTATTGGACACTTGAAGTATTCTAATGATCTCCAAGAAGAGTACAAATTTGAAATTTTGTAATATTTCTAGTATAGATTAACAGTATAAAGCATATTACTAAGCAGTATAGATTATACATTCGAGACTAGCTAAGGTAAGCTTTTTGCTAGGATCTGAGTCTTGTAAGGTTCTTGGTTGAAATACTGGAAATAGAATTTTTTATTCTTTTTTAAGCAATTATACTTATTTTTATTATTATATTAGAATATTATATTTATTAGTTAGATATTGATACTTTATTTTTATTAGTTTATATATATAGTATACTTATTTTTATAGTTTAGTTTTCTTCTAGGCCTAGAGTAAATAGATGTTTAGAACTGCATAAAGTGAGACTGAAGCTCTATACATTTTTATAATTATATTCTTCTTTTTATTGAGACAAATCTGATATTAAAGAAAATTTAGTTTAGATAGTCAGTGTTCTAGCAATCTGGTTAAAAATAGAAACTATTATTTACTATAATCTTAAGTACTTCTTGAAAACAGCAAATTTTCCTACAAATTTTATAAGAAGTCAAAGAAAACAATTAAAATCTCAAAGTAAATTCTATATTATTAAGAACAATTTATTTTACAAACAAAATCAAAAAAACAGAAGATTAACTAATTATTTAAAATAATCCAAATATATGAAATAGAACCAATTCTATATCTAATGCACAACTATTTAATTGGAGCACATTTTGGAACAGATAAGATGTTTAAAAAAATTTAAGACAGATATTATTAGTTACACATATATAAAGCTATTAAAAACTATATTCAAACATATGATATTTTACAAAAGAGTGAAAAATATCGAATACCTAGACCTTTTTAACCAATTTCTATAAAGTATCTTTTTATCGAATTGGTATAGATGTTGTTAAACCCTTACTACTACTCAACAAAACAAGTATATTATAGTTGCTATAGACTATATAACAAAATAATCAAAAGCAAAAGCTGTACCTAAAGCTGATATCAAAAACATAGTAGATTTTATCTATGAAGATATTATTTATTAACATAAATGCTCTATATACTTGCAGTCAAATAGAGAAACATATTTTAATAATGAGCTAATAAAAATGCTTACTCAAAAATTTGAAATTTAATACTTACTCTCTACTTCCTATCATCTACAAACTAATGAATTAGTTAAAAGATTCAATTGAACATAATGTGAATTTTTAGCAAAATTAACTGACCAAGATGAAAATTAGGATATTTTTATTCTATTTATTTTATTTGCTTATCAAACTGCAAAACAATTTATTACCAAGTTTATATCTTTCTACCTTACTTATAGAAGAAAAGCAAAATTTCCAAACTTTGATATTGATAACCTACTAGAAAAAAACTTTTTTATCTGATTATTCTTTTTAATTGAAGAATTACTTAAAGCACAAGAGAAAGCCAAAAACAACATTAAGAAAACTCAATTTTGACAAAAATTTTATTGAGACAAAAAGCACAAAAAAGTCAAACCAATCTTTAGAAAAGAAAATAAAGTTCTCCTATACAATGCTATAAAAGACAAATATTATTTTGGCAAACTATTATTCAAATAAAAAAAATTTTATTTTGTATATAAAAAAGTTGCACCAGATATTTACATATTGCAAATCTTAGAAGGCAATATTTTAGAAATATCAATTAATACCTTGTTGCTAAAAAAATATCATGATAGACACTTGTAGAATTCTATAATTGTTATTAATTAATCACTATCTCTTATCAATAAAAATAATACTCTTTCACAATAAACAATAATTTCAATAAGATTCTTGCTAACTTTCTTAGTACTACATCTTTGTATTCTAATACAATACTAAGACTAATTGATAGAACTTCAAGTTTACAAAACCAAATTGTAAAAATTTAAAATAAATTACTTAGAACTGATCTTATATAAGACAACAGTTTATAAGCATAATAGCAGAAATGGCATAAAACACATTCTATAAACAAGTCTGAAAAATATGCTATAAAAGGTTAACATATAGAAAAAAAAAAAAATAATGAGTAAAATAAAAAAAGAAAAACAGAAAGAAAAAGAAAATTCAAGCAAAAAGAAAAAGTCTAATTAGCAAAAAATAAAAAAGAAAAAAAAAAAGTAAGAGAAAAAGGAAAATGAATTGAAAAAAAAGTTAAAAAGACAATTTAGAAGCTTGTCATAGAAGAGAGAAGACCCTTTCATTATAGTCTTTAAGTAGTCAAACAAGCAGCCTACTTTAGCTAAAGGTAATGTAGCAAGTTGCACTTAGACATCATTAAGATAGTTAGATAATGCTAGGCTTAGTTGTTAGATATATTTATATAATTGCAATAATAATTTCAACAATCTTAATAAGGCACTAACATGACTGTTTATAATAATAATAATAATAAAATTTTATCTTACATTATATAATTGTTTACTAATTTCTGATCAAAATTAATTTTTAACTTTTTATTTTTAATATAAAAATTGTTAAAAAAATAGATTTACACAATAGTAAAATTATTCCAAAAACAATTGTAATTTAATAAATAACTATTAGTTACAGAATATGTCTTTTTCAACAATCTTATTAATAATTATTTTTTGTGTAACTTAAGTTGCCATGACCTTTTTTTTGACCATCTTGACTAATTAATAGCAAGTAATATTTTAGTTTTAAACAATCTTTATTTTTTGAGTTTTATGCTTTTATTTTATATCAAAAATAGTTGTATTTTTTGAGTTTTTGTGAAATAAAATCAGATCTGAAAATTGCAATTTTTTGACACAAATGTCAAGATTCTCTTCTAAATACTGTAAAATAAACCTAGCTTTACTTCACTAATAATAGTAAACAAAAAGCATTATATCTTTTATTATTGCTACAAGAGTACTTTAGTTGTAGCTTTTAGGCAATTACTAAAAAATGCTCTTTAATAAGATAAATTAAAATGCTAATTTAGACAATTTTTAGTTTTATTTTCTTCTGTAAACTCTATAACATAATTTTAACCAAACTAAAATGTTTATATTTATAAAAATCTTTGAATTTTTATTATTTATTTTTTTTTAAATTTTTTAATATTAAATAAATAAGATCTGTATAAAAGCTTGAAATATTAAATTACTGTATTATGTTCACCAAAGTACTTTAGAACTTTTAAAGGTTTGGGCATTTTGAAGCTTGAAGTAGCTTGAAATCTAAATACTCAAAAAATTCTTAGATATTTATATGAGTATTATATATGAGAGTACTTTGGCAAATAGAATATAGTATATAATAGTTAAATTCTAGAATTAGTAAAGGTAAGTCATATAATTTATTTTAAACTTCTTGTTTTTGTAATTTATTAAATACTGCCTAACTCTTTTGTCTGTTCAATCTAAAGAAACTGTATTAAGATCTGATACTGCTTGAATTTTGTTGTTAGATATTGTATTTTCAAGTTTAAGTAATTGTAAAAGTATTGTTTTTTCTACTTTCAAAGTAGTACAATGCAAACATTTTAAAGGATTAACAGAAGAAAAAGTTTGTTTTAGAATTAAGGTATTTTGCTATTAAATATTTAATTCTTGAATAGAGTTGCTTACTTAATTATATTTTTGTTTTTTTATACTCTTAATCTGAGCATAAATATAATTATTTATATTTCACACATAATGGCTAGAAGTTCAGGGCTTAGTTTTGTATATATTCTGTGCAAGCATCTCTTGAAAGTATAATTTGCCAGTCTTATAAAAATATAAGATGTTTTTAATACTATCTTTACTAATTTTTAATGCATCTTTGAACAAGTAATATGTTACAGAATTTGAATGATCGAAAGCAGCCTACAGATTTGTGACTAGAAACTAGAGTGAATCTTTATATAACTTGATTGTATGAGAATTTTGGCCCATTATAGCATTATTAATATATTCTGCAAGAAGTATTGATAGTTAATTTCTTTTGCTCTAGACTGCTTTAATTTTTAGCATCATAGTTTCTTGGTTAGTAATATTATTAGTTATATTTTGCTTAACAAATTTTATACTATACATTTCAAGTGCTTCATCAAAAGCAAAATAATATCCTTTACTTGTAAAATTTACTAAATACACTATTTGTAATAATTTTTGTAGCTGCAAATTATTATAAACCTAAACTAAAAAGTATATCACAGAACTTGCATATTTAAATTTTCCAGCTACAGAAAAAAGAGATATGAATGCAGCCAAATTTGTCATCTGCATGCTGTAGTTTTCTTTTCTAATTTTGATTTTATGATTTATGAAATATTTTGTCTAGCAAAAGAAGAAATATCATATCTTTATTAAGTAATTATAATCATCTAAGTTATCACTCATTATTTTTTCATCTTTTTTAACATACTGATATAATGCAATTCTGACTGTCACCTATATCAATTCTAAAATACAGCATGTTGCTTAGTAATCTACTATATGCTCAAACTTTTTTAAATATTATACTCTGAGAGTTGTCTTAAGGTTAAATATATCATATCCAGAAAATATCATAATTAAAGTACTGCATATATCTTAAAATATGTGCCACTATCTCAAAAGAAGTCAAACATCATTGTGAGTTTGATTACATGCAATGCATGAACATTCATTACAACTTTAAGATAAATTATTGCAATATATCTTACATGCTGTGTGAATATTATTATTGCAATTAAGCAGATTACCAGGTTTCAATATTATAACTTTTGTTAATAAAATATTGCAACCTAGAGGTACTTGTTTGGTAATTTCAAAGTGTATATTTTTCATTTTAAATCATTTGCATGACTCTTCAATATTTTATTTAAAATTATTTTATTCTTCATCAAAAGGTTATCAGTAGTTGAAAATTCTCTGAATAGTAGTTGATTAATGGATTCATAACTTTCAACTAGATAGTCAAATGAGATAGAAAGATAAACTAGAATATTATTTGCAATGTCATATATGAAATCTGGTACATAATATCAAAAATATTATCATATTAAAATGTTAAAGCTTTAAAATTAATATTATTAATTATTGCAAGATTCCAGATGTTTGGTCCTTTAATTAGATTGTTTTTAGGATCTATACTATGCATTCTTAATCTTTTAAGATAACTTTCATGCCTTTTAATATATGTGATAACAGATGCTGAATAAAGAATTTCTCTTAAATGTGCAATAATTTTGGATTTTAACAAATTGATAATATAATGGTTAAAAGCCAAATTTTTGATTTGGAAAAAGCAATAGCAAGTAGCATCGAAGTTAATAAAATGGTAGTTTTTGATATTTGATTTGCATCATTTGACTTTAACAGGCAAAGAACATTTTCACTTATAAGAATTCAAAATATTTTAATTATAGGTCAAATGACTTGATGTACCTCAATTTTATTTTAATCTTGATTTACTTAAAAAAATAAAAAGAAAGTTTTTTTTTAAAATAGGATTTATATTTTTTAGCATTTAATGCTTCTTTTTTATAAATTTTTGCAGAGTATTAAAAATATAACTTGAAAAAGATTTTGATTCAAAGTTGAACTCTTCTTTACTATATTCTTTAAGTCAAAAAACTGACCTTGTATTTTATATAATATGATTAGTTAAAATCTTTCTTTAAAAAATAAAAAAATTTTTATTAAGTAAAGATTTTTTATACTCTTAATTAAAATTGTAAAGCTCTCTTTTCTGGTTTTAATAATAGTAAAATCATCAAAATTAGACTTGTCTTTGGTGAAATATTTGCATTTAAAGATGTGATATTAAGGATCTACAAAGTGAATATTTCACCAAAGTTATTTACAATTTTCATATAATACTCACTTTGCAGATTCTTAATATTACATCTTTAAATGCAAATATTTTACTAAAGACAAGTTCAATCTTGATAATTTTACTATCATTAGAATCTAAAAAAAGAGCTCTACAACTTTAATTAAAAGTATAAAAAATCTTTACTTAATAAAAATTTTTTTATTTTTTAAAGAAAGATTTTAACCAATCATATTATATAAAATACAGAGTCAGTTTTTTGACTTAAAGAACATAGTAAAGAAGAGTTCAACTTTGAATCAAGATCTTCTTCAAGTTATATTTTTAATACTCTGCAAAAATTTATAAAAAAGAAGTATTAAATGCTAAAAAATATAAATCACACTTTAAAAAAAAACTTTCTTTTTATTTTTTTAAGTAAATCAAGATTAAATAAATTTTTTTCATAAATTTATATATAAAATTGAGGTACATCAAGTTATTTAATTTATAATTACAACACTCAAGTAAAAATGTCCTATGCCTGTTAAGAAAAGTTCACATTAACATCTCTTATTATTAATGACTTTTTGTTTATATTGTTACAATATTGTGAGAAGAGATTAAAAATAAGTACAAAGAACTTTAGTTAATGTATTAAAGTATTCTTCATATAAGCTTAGATTTTTTAAATAGTTTATATTTTCTTTAACTTCAAAATATAAATGTAGAATTTCTTTTCCTAATTTTTTACCTATTATTGAAATCTTTTTTAGAATTATTATATATAGCCTTTCTTTAATTAACTTATTTAATTCAATTTTTCTTAATTTTATTATCATTCTAACTACTAACTTACTTGGAGATTTTTCTGTTTTTATTTCTTCATTTATTATTTCATTATTAAAAATAGTTAATGCTAAAAATATTTTAATTAGAAGTCTTTCTTGCAGCTCATGATTATCTAAATCTACTACTAATATTATATATTTTTCAACAAGCTTTAGAATATCACTAGCATCATCATGATGTTTTTCAAGTTTAGTTTTTAGTTGGAATTTTTTGGATTTATCAGGTCTTTCATACAAATGTTCATCATTTTGTTGAAAGCATTTTGAGCAGATGTAATGCACACAATAGTTAAAAGATAATTGTTTAGTAAAATTTCCTTCAGAAAATACAGAACAGTTCAAAACACCAATACAAGACATTTGAATATTTTGTTTATTTACTTTTTATGAATGTTCTGTGTACCTATTGTCATGGCTAAAAAAATTTTTTTTTATTACAAAAAAGGCAAATATAAAAATGAATAATACTTTTTTTTTTTTTTTTTTTTTTTAATTTTGGCGACAATGCCAGTTGGTTTTTATTAGCTTAATTTTTGATATAGTACAAATTTACGGTTACATTTTAGGATCGATTATTACTAGTACTATATACTATCTAATTTAACACTACTGACTTCACCCGGTTACCCT